GAGAGAGAGAGAAAGGGGACATAAGGAGGACCAGGAAAGGGGGGGGGGTCAGACTTTATTCCACCACCACCCATTTTGGGGGGCTGTCTAGCCCAGCATTCTGTTTCCCACAGACTTGAAGCTGGAGAGAGTCTCCCTTGGTCGCCCCAACTTCTCCTCCTCAGAGGAGCATCTCCAATGCCTCTGGTGCTAGTAGCCCTTTGTTGGCTATTGGTAGCCCTCTTGTCAGGCTACTCCAGAAGCAACTCCAAGGAGAGGCTCAATTTGGCCCCTCAGGGCTGCCCTCGTGGACGACTCTCCCTCTAGAGTTTTGAGGAAAATAGAGTTGTGTCCTGGCTATTTAGCCACAATGGGCTTGGTCCAGACATAGCTGTCCATGTCAAGGTGTTCATTGTGACTAACAAGGCACAGGACAGCAGGTAATGGGTCCTAACCAGAAAGTCAAAATAAGGGAAAGTGTAATTGTACAGTCAATTCCTGTGAGATGTGGTGCTGGAGAAGAGTGCTGAGGATGCCATGGGCAACCAAAAGGACAAACAAATGGGCCTAGAGCAGATCAGGCCTGAACTCTCCTTGGAAGCCAAAATGACAAAACTGAGGCTTGCATACTTCGGCCGCATCATGAGAAGGCAATAATGCTGGGAAAGGTGGAAGGAGGGAGAAAAAGAGGATCGAGTTCATGAGTATAACTTTGCAGGAGCTAAGCAGTGCAGTGGAGTCTTGGAGATGTCTCATCCACAGAGTTGCCTTGGGTCAAAATCAATTTGAGGGCAGTTAACAACCACAAAATAATTTTACAAAAAGAGCAAGAGGTGTTTATAGAATGAAACTTGTTTTTACAACTCTCTGGTGAAACTGTGCAGAAGTACTACTGCCGTTGTTGTCCTTGTGTGCCTTCAAGTCATATGGCAAACCTAAGGTGAACCTGATGTGGGGGTTTTTTTGGCAAGGTTTGCTCAGAGGAGGTTTGCTATTGGCTTCCCCAAGGTCACCCAGGGAGTTTCAAGAAGGGAATCGAACCCATGTCTCCAGAGTCATAGTCCAACACTCAAACCATCATGCCACACTGGCTCGTGTGATTCGTGGCAGCCCAGGTTTAAACAAAATCTCTGTAGTCTATAGAAATATATCCAGGGGTAGCCCTGTTGTTAGTGTATGCCTTCAATTTACCATAGGATTTTCTTAGCAAATTTCTTCAGAGGGGGATTGCCATTTCCATCCTCTGACATTGAGAGAGTGTAACTTGGCCAAGGTCACCCAGTGGGTTTCCATGGTCAAGCTGGGATTTGCACCCTGATCTCCCAGTGTCCTAGTCAAACACTCAAACTACAACACTATGATGGCTTCAAAAGCCTGCAATATGTATTTTGTGCATTATTTAGCCCAACCACTGTTTTGTGGCTTTTGGATAATACTCTATAGAGCCAGTGTGGCATACTGATTTGAGTGTTGGACCTTGATTGGAAACCAGGTTTGATTCCCCACTTGGCCATGAAACCCACTGGATGAGTCACACACTCTCAGCCTCAGAGGGGAGCAATGGCAAACCTCCTCTGAACAAATCTTGCAAGAAAACCCGATGATACATTCACCCTAGGGTTGCCATAAGTGGGAAACTACTTGAAGACACACAACAACAAACACCAGTACTCAAGACTTTAGGACTGTAGGATGATGCAAAGAATTAAATAGGGGCTTATAAGAAAGACCCAGTAACACAGGCAATTAATGTTCTCTAGAGAATGCAAGATGAAACCTGTGAGAGAACCATTTCATTAGAAGAAAAACATCTAAAGCTCTTTCTCCCCAATGTAGGTTCCTCTACTTTGGCAAGGATGAACTTTACAATCCACTTCTAAAAATGTTTAAGTGTAAATATATTCTGCTGTGTTTCAGAATTCTTCATGCCAGTGTCTCTGCAGTTCTTCCTCCAGCTGCTTCCCCTACTTTGGAAAGAAAATTAGACAATGTTACCTTCACAAACTGAAGTTGAGTAAAACAAGAATAAGATGTTGGATTGCTTAATGTTAGATATGAAAACATCCTTATACAAGGGTGAAAGAATAACTGGTGGAGCTCTGAAGATTCTTTTGGGGCATCTTTGGAAAGTTGAGCTCTGAAACCACACTGCAGAAATAATCCAGTTTGAGTCTGTTTTAACCGTCCTGGCTCAATGCTAGGGAATTCAGGGAATTGTAGTTTTGTGAAACATTTAGCCTTCTCTGTCAGAAAGCTCTGGTGCAACAATAAACTGCAATTCCCAGAATTCCCTAGCATTGAGCCAGGGCAGTTAAAGCGGACTCAAACTAGATTATTTCTGCAGCATGTTTTGAACCCTTATTATGGTTCCAGAACTTCATGATGGATATCAAAATCAGTGGATACTCAAGTGGATACTCAAGTCCCATGAAATACAATGCCATAGTAAAATAGAGTTCCTTATATAAAAGATTTGCTTTTTGTAATTGTATATTTTTGCATATTTTCAAGATGTTGATGTTTGAATCCTGTCCCAGAGGATGTTGATGTTGATGTTTGATCCTGTCCCAGAGGACAGGATCAAAATTCAAAATGACTTGAACAGAC